ATATATATATATATGCGACAAAAGAGTGAGTGAGAGAGAGGGAGAGAAAGAAAGCGAGATAACGCGTGAGAGTGGTGCGTTCCTTGACTGAGTCGAGACTGGGAGAGCCTGGCTAATGGACTAACGTGGAAGCGTTTATGTGAAGGCAGCTGTCGTCGTGCTCTCCCATCACTTCTTCTTACACTTGACAAACCAACGCTTGCAGACCAGTCCTTCCCCAGCTGGCATGTGCTGTTAATGGGAGATGGAAATCCAACGTATATATGTGATTATAATGTGTGTGCGTGCGTGCGTGCGTGCATATATATATATACACAACACACACGCACACACACACGCACACACACACACACACACACACACACACACACACACACACACACACACACACNGAGAAAGAGAGCGAAGGCGAGAGAAGAGAGCGAGAGCGAGAGAGAAAGAGCGAGAGCGATCGAGAGAAAGTCAGCGCGAGAGAGTGAAACGAGGAAGGTCAATACGGCAGCGAAGAGTAGATAGATAGATAGATAGATGATAGATAGATAGATAGATATTAGATGATAAGATATATAAGATATGATATTATATATGCGACCAAAAGAGTTGGTGAGAGAGAGGAGAGAAAAGAGCGAGATAACGCGTGCAGAGGGCGTTGCATTCCTTGACTGATCGAGACTGGAGAGCCTGGCAATGATAACGTGGAAGCGTTTATGTGAAGGCAGCTGTGGTCGTGCCTCTCCCATCACTTCTTCTTACACTTGACCAAACAACGCTTGCAGACCAGTCACTGTCCCCGGCTGCAATGTGTGTTAATAGAGAGATTGGAAATTCCAACGTATATATGTGATTATAAATGTGTGTGGCGGGCGTGCGTGCAGGCATATATATATATATATACACAACACACCACGCCACACACACACACACACACAACAACACACACACACACACACACACACACACACACACACACACTCACACGCAACGCACACGCACACACGCCCACGCCCACACACACGCACACGCACACACTGTCACACACAGTCATATATATATATATATATATACATCAGATTGATTGGATATTGATCTGCTATCATGGTGCACTCACTAGCAGGAGGGTGTCTTCATCAATCATCTCATGCACGTAGACATCCTCTAGGTTGTCATTTTCTGGTTCTGTCACTTTCAGTATCAGATTGCCATTCTCAAGCGTGTAGATGTTCTACAATATCGATAAAAAACATCGCACAGTCATCGACAGCTAGTCCGATCACGATACAATACATCAGAGCTGGAGAGCACGCTAGTCGTCAGGCCAAAGACTGACGCAAGCGGTCAGAAAAGGCAGTCACGCTTCGGTCATAAATTGTTTTACAAAAGTTATGAACTTGAAAAGTCGAACACAGAATGTAGCGCTACTGAGTTGACGTTACTGGCCGCTAGAGGGCTTGCGGTGTGCGCGTCGTGTTATGCATTGCGGGTTAGATGCATTGCGTGGGGTGGGGGGTGAGGAACGACTGTATAGTACAAAGCTTTATTGATACTTACGCTCAGCTTCTGACCCATAGGGCTTTTCGATTCAACCGTCTCCCCCATATGAAACTTTAAGTTGACAAAGCTCTGGAATATAACGTAGGTTTTGGACTGGTACTGTTCGGGCCCTATCTCCAGTAGCTCCATGTATGTGGTCGTTGCCTTGGCAACCTGCTTCAGGAACGGCCATACCTCTGCGAATATATTATTGGAATAGTGATATCGCATCGCCACTCCCTCTCTCTCTCTCTCTCTCTCTCTCTCTCTCTCTTTCTCTCTCTCTCTCATCTTCTCCTACTCGTCTCTCTCTCTCTTTCTCCTCTGCTCTCTCTCTTTCTCTCTCTCATCTCGTCATACCGCTCATCTCTCTCTCTCTCTCTCCGTCTCTCCATCCTCTCTCTCTCTCTGTATAAAATATAATAATATATATATATATAATATATAATCTCACACTCTGCTCTTCCTCTGCGGCGCAGCTCTCTCTCTCTCTTTACGCGCGCTCTCTCTCTCTCTCTCCTCTCTTTCGCGCGCTCTCTCCTCTCTCATTCGCGACGCGCTCATCTGTCTCTCTCCTTTCTCTCTCTCTCTCTCTCTCTCTCTCTACTCTCTGTCTCTCTCTCTCTCTCTGACTCTCTCTCTCTTCGCGCGCTCGATCTCTCTCTTCTCTCTCGATCTCTCTCTCTAGCTTTCGCGCGCTCTCAATCTCATCTCTCCTCTCTCTCTCATCTCTCTCTTTCTCCACATCTCTCTCCAATCTTGCGCAGCGCTCATCATCCTCATTTTTGATACTCTCTCTGTCTCATCTCTGTCTCTCTCTCTCTCTCTCTCTCTCTCGTCCGAATCGTACTGTATTCCGCCCACTCAGCCTCTCATTGCTCCACACGCTTTTCGCTACTCAATTACATTCAATCCCTTTAGCATCTACTCATCTCTCTCTCTGCTCTCTAGCTCATCTCTCTCTGCTCTCTCTCTCTCTCTCGTCTCTCGTCTCTCTCTCTCTCTCTCTGCATCGCTCTACATCTCTCGGCTACTCTCTCCTCGTCTCCCCTCTACATCATCATGCCTCTCTCTCCCTCTCTCTCTCGCTCTCTCTACTCTCTCTCTCTAATCTCTCATCTCCTTCTTAACTCTCGTCGCTCGCGTGCTCCTGCTTCTAGCTCCTCTCCTCTCATCTCCCTCTCTCTCTCTCTCTTCCCCACTCTACATACTCTCTCTCTCCTCTCTCTCTCTCTCTCTCTGCCTCTCTCTTCGTTACTATCTCGCTCTCTCTCTCCTAAATCGTACTGTATGTCCCGCCACTCGCTCTCTCTTGCCTCCCACCGCTCTCCATCTCTCTCTATCTTACCATGCACCATTTAAGCTAACCTTGCTCTCTGCTCCTCTCTCTCTCTCATCTCTCCTCCTCTCTCTCTCTCATCTCTCTCTCTCTCTCTCTCTCTCATGCTCTCTCTCTCTCTTCTCTCTCTCTGTCTCTTCTCTCTCTCTCTCCATCTCCTCTCTCTCTCTCTCTCTCTCTCTCTTCTCTCTCCGCTCTCCTCATCTCTCTCTCTCTCTCTCTCCTCTTCTCTCTCTCAACTCTCTCTCTCTCTCTCTCCTCTAATCTCTCGGCTCTCCTCTCTCTCTCATCTCTCTCTCCTCTCTCTCTCTCTCTCTCTCTCTCTCTCTCTCTCTCATTACCACTCTCTTTTTTAACCATATCTAGCTCACGTGCACTCTCCCTCTCACGCTCCCCAACTGTCTTTTTCCTCCTCTCTCCCTCTCTCTTGTTGTATAACTTTACCTATCTATCTACTTACTTTTATACGCCAAGTATTCGTCGAACAGCTCGTTCTTCGTGTTCTCGTACTTTCCGAGGAATTTCTCCATGACGACAACGATGATGATAAAAAAAAATATATATATATATATATACACGGCCGAGAATGCCGGCTAATATATCACGTTAGTTTGGAATAGCGCGGAGACACGAATGCGCGTCCACGGGAGGAAGGAAACCGGTTGATGTCTCCGCAGGCGACGGTGAGGAGAGGTAAGGAGCTGGGCTACGGTGGTGCACTACACACACGCGTTAACATATATCAGCAGCTATCAGGACAGGGACCTGCCGATATAGGTAGTCGTGACTCGAGTTACTTGACCTTTCCTCGTTATCACCGGGAGTCCACACACTGCGAATTTGCACTTCGCTGCAAATAATACAGGCCACTATAATTTATATATATATATATATATATATATATATATATATANCCAGCCATCACGATTGCTTGTTTAAGCCATACTACTGTGACAAATATATTCTTTTTTTTTAACATATAATTTGGTTAAAAGACCATGTTAAGTACTTATGTAGCAGCTACTGGACATGCGCGAACGGCGGGTTTCCCGTTGTGCCATAGGGAAAATTGCCACAGGTTCGAATTCTGCACAGGGAAAATTGTTTATTTTTATTTAATTTCGGGAGCACATTATATAACTATGCTATATTTTATGCTCTCCTTACAAAATATAAACTCAAAAACGTCTAAGCACCCTATCGAATGCACATTACATAAATATCTTTGCATAATGCGCGCGGGTATATGCTCGCTAATTTATAAACTCATAATGTGTCCAAGAGGTGGCGCCGTCTTACGTAAACATTTTGGTCGCGCAAAATCAACTTGATCAACGTGTATGCTACATGTACTTCCTAACTTCTGGTAAGCATTTTTGTCGGATTCCTAACCCGTTGCCAAAGTTCATTTGTGACGGTGTTCAGTTATTTTAGGCTTGTTCATTATTAGATGATTTCAGTAATGTTACTATACCAAATAATAGTAATAATATAACAATACCATGACTTGGTTGATCATGATTGATGGNAAAGTTCATGTTGTGAGCGGTTCATTATTTTAGCGCTTGTTCATTATTAGGGATGATTTCAGTATGTTACTGATAAACTTGACAAATTAATAGTAATAATAATAACAATTACCATGACTTGGTTGCATCATGCATTGATGGAGGCCTCGGAACACAGCCAGGCCCTCAGGGCACGAGGCACTTTTGAAGGAGAATCGTTCTCAATAAAAAAAGAATGGTAAATAAACCCGAAATGTATATTATCTACCAAAAGTCTTAATGTTTCTCTTACTCTCGTAAATTTCGGCCTATAATGTACCTGTAAGGTGCCGGTTTAAATGCCCATCTTGCAACACACAAGTACCCGAGCACACGCTAACGACCAGGCTCTCCGACTAGTTTACACGGCGGAGGACGTGTAAGCCTGCTCGCCACGTAAGTGTTAAGACGAGATGGGAACTTGTGGGCTAACCGCACGGCTAGGCTGCTGCACACTGACGAAATAAATATATAGAGGTACGGAAAAGCGAGTGGCTGCAACAATTCGCGTCGATCGCTCGCTTGATTGTCATACGAGTGAAACATCAAATATTCATCATTCTACTGAGCATTCTTTGTTCTATTTGAATGAACCAGTGTTTACTTGTTATAAAAAACCATACTGTCTGTGTTTCGTAAGACGCGAGCTGTGTCAGCGGCAAATCACACAAAGCCTGACGCAAAGTTCTCAGCGTTCGCGCCGCCCGTTGCGCCAGTTTTATGTAAATGGCTGCAAAGTACACGGGCTATACGGCGGCGCACTGCATTTTGGGAAACGTAACCACGCTGCTTTCCAACTCCCGGGTACGAGGCCTCGTCAATAGCTGCAGTGGAGCGTTGCAAAAGCGTTGGGTCAGCGTTCGCGGCCCAAAAATGAGCGCGAGTCACGAAGAGCGCCTGGTGGGTGTTTCCTGATTCCGACAGCCATGTTACGTAAATGCGCAACGGGAGCGAACCGCAGAGAATTTCGTCAGGCCTTTGGTGATTTCCGTGACAGCAAGGCTCGGTTACGAACACAGACAATATGTTTTTATAACAAGTGAACACTTCCTTCAAATAGAAACAAACATGGAGTATTACGAATGGTTGAATTTTGTGTTGTAATCGTATCGAAATTCAAGCGAAAGCGTGAGCGATTTTGGCAGCACGGCTTTTTTTCCTACGCCTGCTTATATATTTATGAGTCAGTGTGCAGCAGCTAGCGTGCGGTGTACTTGTGTGTTACAGATGAGCATTTGGATGGCATTTACCGGAAATTTTCAGCAATAATAGGTGAAAGAGAGTAGAGAAACATTAAGACTTTGGTAGTAAATGGATTTCGTATTTATTTAGCATTATATTTTATTGAAACACTCCAAGTGCCTGTGCCTGGAGGCTGGAACGGCACATCAATATACACATATACATGTGCCACTGGTATGAGACATTGCCATACAGTGCTACATAAAAGAGGCCAATACAGCTTTAAGAAGCTTCGAGATTAAGGAGCAAGCGGGCAACACATGCCATGTCACAATGCTAATGTGTGCACGTACGTGCGTGCGAGCATGCGTGCGCGTGTTGAGAATTGAATAAATGCATAATTTTGTCGTAATTTTAATTGGCACAGCTTGGGAGGCATTCGATCGAGGCAGCAGCAACTCGCGGCACGTCACGATGGCTTCCGCCGCTCGCGACCGTGCCGGCGGCGCGGTGTTACTGTGCGGAACTCTGCTGATGCTTGCCACTGCTCCGACTCCGGGTACAGCCACGGCGCGGCGCGCGTCCGTGATCATGGTGAAATCGTTGCCACGCGAAGACGACGCTCCCGGCGCCGCCGCCGCCGCGAAGGTCGCGAGAGAGACGCCCTCGTCGTTAAAAGGTGGCCATTTTGTTTTCGCGTGTGTCTGGTGCACTTTGGGGTGCGTCCATGTGGCAACACCTTTCTTGCATTGTCCCCGGGTTTCGTTTTGGGCTAACACAAATGGAGCATGCCAGTACAACCCGATCGACTGCCTAGCTCAACTGTGCATCCCTCAGCCTGTTGCTGTAGGCCTGTGGTAGGAGGACCAGGGCTGTATGGTAGAGATATGCGTCACGGTGCACCGCATTACCCTGATGTTCAGCAATTACATGACTCCTTAATGTTCCGCAATTTAGTAATTGTTATTAAAGGTGGCGCGTGTTCTAACACGTCGATGTTTACCGTTCGCTGTTCCGCTGCTTCTTCCGTGAGGTGGGATGTTGTATCCGAGGGACTCCGAGAGTAGAGAGACGAAGGAGCTGTCCGGTATGTGGAGCTTTCGCACGTCCGGCAGTGACCAGGATGCCGGATTCCGTGAACAATGGTACAGCAAGCCACTGTCCCAGGTACAGTCAAACCCCTGTTAGCAAACACCTCTGTAGAATCGGCATTTGTCCGTAAAGGACGTTTGCCATTTCCCTTCGAGTGGCAGCTATTGCTGAAAAACTACTTTATAGACACAGACACCTGTTTATAGACACAGCCACCTGTTTATAAATGACGATTTTGTCATTTCTCTTTGGTCCTAGTTATTGCAAAAACATCTTTGTAGAACAGGACATGTCATTTGACCTATCTATAAAGGACATTTTTGGTGTTTTTCTTGAGTAGCAGTTATTCAGGAAAGCCATCTCCATGAAACACACACCTGTCTATTAAGAACCTTACCCTCGAGTGACCCGTGCATGCGGCTTTGACTGTATTTCATTCAAACGAATGTCTTGAATAACGATGCACATTTCGATAATCCGTCGTCCGCAGACGGGACCGGTGATACCCATGCCGGTGCCGGCCAGCTACAACGACATCACGCAGGACGCGGCGATCCGGGATTACGTCGGATGGGTGTGGTACGACCGCGAGTTCTTCGCTCCCACCAGGTGGCGCACCGACGATCTGCGCGTGGTTCTGCGGTTCGGCAGCGCTCACTATTACACCATTGTGGTGCGTAATCCGTGTGCATGTGTGTGTGTGCATGTGTGCGTGCGTGCGTGCGTGCGTGTGCGGCGCATCGTTCCATCTGTTAGAACGACGAGCATAAACCTGCGGAGTGTGCAAAAGCGGTGTCAGAAATTAATTTCGAATGCGACGTTGACAACAATGTACGTCGGCGTCTAGTGCATAAGCGACTAAGCTACGATTTAAGAACAACGGCGTTCATAAAAATGATAAAAACTCCCTATAAATAGTTATAAAAACTACCCCGCTCATCCTCGCGTTCTTTCTCGCGGTCATCAGTGGGTCAACGGCCAGCGGGCGGTCAGCCACGACGGTGGTCACCTTCCGTTCGAGGCCGATGTCGGGCATCTGCTGAGCGACGGTCGCCGCGGCAACCGCGTCACGGTCGCCATCAACAACACGCTGTCACCGTTCACGCTGCCGACGGGCTCGATCGAGTACAAGAACGACACGAACATGTGAGTTCGTTCGCGAGATGCGCGCGGTTCCGAGGAGAACTTCTCATCACCCGTTCGCTCTGTGTCGTGAGAGTTGTTCAACCGAGAGAAGTTTGTGCTCTCTGTGCTATTCTTGTGCTGCGTATAGACATACGTGTTCGTTAATGTATTTGCATACAGGACTGAGTATTTGTATATTTGTATACAGGTATCTATAATTATAGGTATAGGTATCCCATAGTGTATTTGTATACAAGTGTCTATCTGTGCGTGTAGGTATAGATGTCCTATAGTGTATTGGTCTATGTATTTGTCTCATACATGTATCTATCTATGCGTACAGGTACCCACCCGGATACTTCGTGCAGAATCTCAACTTTGATTTCTTCAACTATGCCGGCATCCATCGCACAGTGCTGCTCTACACGACTCCGGCAACGTACATCGACGACATCACCGTGGTAACGGACGTGCGGGATGCTGTCGGTGCGTGACGGAAACCGCCCAACGCTCACGCCCCCCGTAACCCTGACCCTGACCCTAACACTAACCCTAACCCTAACCCTAACCCTA